TTTCACCTGGACCCCTCTTACGGAAACTAGCGGCCACGCCACCCGAGGGAAGCTGACTGAGGTTGCATTACGCATGTGACTGTGTGGTTGTATGGCCTCAGTTGCGCTGAGTCCCACCAACCTGTGTCAGCAGAAACATAAGGCGCCAAGATCGATCGCCACTGGGCTAGCAGTCGGTCACACTGTGATATATGCAACAGACATTTCACTACGTGTTGCAAGGCAAAGGTAGCAAGAACGAGGTAACAAATCGATGGAAAAGTAGAAGACCAACTCCTTACCTGCCAACCGTAGAAATCTTCTTCCAACAAGAGATAAATGACCATATATAAATGACCGCGTTCTTTATCCAGCCGCTTCGCCTCTTCCAAGTTTTGTTCCTCTAGGAAGCGTTCTCGAAGACTTTCTGGAATGTCGTTCATGGAAACGGAGCAAAGGACATCATCACGTGCTGATTCGGCAATGTACACCAACATGTATGCGTTGGTGCACGGACGCATCTCGGGGTCTTCGGTTCCGCCGAAATTCTGGATGGATACGAAAAGGAAAATGGGCTTGCATATGGGACCTGTCACCAGCTTATTATAATGAATAGGACCAGTTGAAGAATCTTTGATGTCTTAATCGTCAGGTTATAACGTGGATGAAATAGAAAAAGAAATGAACAAAAATTACAGAACGGTGAATGCGTCTGAGAGCTTGAGATGTCGGATACATTCTCACAAACGGGCGTTCGAGTCTTGTTTAATTTGGCGACTAGGGGGTGATTCCCTAAACTCAAAACCAGACTAGAGAGGTAAGGCGGCTAGGTTTGCGGCGAATATTGACAAAAGCGATGGTGAAGAGTGAGCGATTATGGCCAGATGAGATATTTATTATCAAAGCCATTTCGAAACCGGTGAAGTATCAGAGTTTAGTTACTAAGTTCATTCTACGTCTCACTGCCCTACCACTGAACTTCACAGCTCGGAAGCGAGTGTAATTAATCAAACTTCAGTCAGTAGGTAGCAGGCTTCTCTATGGCTAACGGGAAATGAAACTGAATCCGTATCCATATCACCATCATTTTGACCGTCCTTCTTCCGTCCTGGAGAAAAACCGGATCAGTCACGAATTTAAAGCTTCTGTGACGCCATCTGCTCAATCGAGCCCTCATCAGCGAACCATCAATCAGCAACAACAAGGAATTCATTGAGTGGGCGTTTACGACGTCAAACTATTCACACAATAATTCAAGTATCCAGCGCGCAACCGTGGAGTGGTCGTAACGCACTCCACTCGCGTATGGATGGCCGGAGCTGGAAAACGGGTACAGTCAAGCCAACGATATGCTGTGCGTGTAGAAGCGAAATTTAGGTTCAGTTTCTTACCTTTTGGTGTGAGCCCATTAAATAAATCGCACCAAGGCAGGAGGACTGCCAAACATTTAACAAAACTCATGACTACCCACAATCAGCTAACAAGCGAACACACTGACAGTTATCAAATAAACTATCCGCTTTAAATTACTGGGGGGATAAAGTGTCTCCGGCCGTAAAGAAGTACTCACCATGTAGATAGCGTCGTGAGCGGAACAACGCGACACGACATCATCATCAAACTGATACCAGATGCCGTTACCTGCTGGATTGATGTAAACGACGTAATGACCACCATGGTTGTCACCAGAGTGCACGAGCACGGCGTGCAGAAAGTAGTTTGCGGGTGAATTAGGGTCTGGATGCAACAAAAACTTGTCGAGCTCTAGGTTGTAGACAAACTCAAATCGGTCGTTGATTTTCACATTTGTGTCCGCTACAAAGTCATATTGGAAGCGCATCAATTGCAAGTAGAGGACGGGTGGAAAACGAATAAACGTGACACCTTTCTCAGCTTCCTGAAGCCCATATTCACCGGCATCGTATTTGTTGTCCTGTGTCAGTGTCTCTTTAGCGACGTACTCCGTGAATGCATCATAAATAGTCCGATTCCCATTGACTTTGAGCTGAATGTCATAGAAGTTCTCCTCGCGTTTCGATTCATACCGAACGTTCAAGCACCGAATATATGAGAGCATTTTGCCGCAGAAGAGATTTGGGATAACATCTTCAACAGAGGTTCCTTTCATTTTGTTCTCCAGGTTGTCCAATAGTACCCGACAAAGTTCTTGAGCATCATGTTGCATGAAAGAATCCAGAGTTGCCCATCCAAAACTTCGTGTTAGTTTCTTTGTACCGACAGCTCGGTCGCTGAACTGGAGTTCGTAGAACACCCGTTGCAAAGCCAAAGGGACGCTGGTCTGAGCGTCATCACTCTCTGTGGGCATGAGGAATACGGCGCGACGAAGTTTGTTTGTGCAATACAGGGCTTGTAAGAGTGAATTCAGGTAACATGTAGCACCCTGATTTTTTAGACCGACAAACCCTGTGTGACGTTTAGAGTCCCAATCAGCTCCATGAGGGGCATCTGCTTTGACACGGACCTGTAGATGGATGTCGTCGTTGGGTCCAATAAAACCCCGCTCCGGATTGAAGAGCTCTTCATAAGAAATGAAGCTTTGGAATCCCCAGTCATTCTCCTTATGTGTAAAAGTGTGCTGTATTTTCATTTCCTTGTTTTTACAGTTTGGTCGTTGTGCCAGTAGCGTTAAGGTGGCTTTGGCTGAACAGCTCCAAGTTTGCGAATCACTGTCTGCATTGCACTGGATGAAGAATCCTAGAGAACTGGTCTCAGGAGGATGGAAGATAATCAGTATCTTCCAAGGAAGACAACGAATCATCGTACCACCTCCACATATCTGAAAGACAAAAGAATAATGGTCAGTGTGGACAAGATTAACCACATCGCATTTAGATTGGAATGTAAACAGGGAATAATTCGGTGTGGTAATTTTTGTGGTCGAAGCTTTCATCAAATGATCGGTTTCTGTTTGTGCAAACAGCTGCAGAATGAAACTCGCATGGACCAGCTGAACCCGGACTCAGGAAGAAAAGCAAGATCCCAGTAGGGTAACCACTACTTTTCACCCACTTCGTTTCATTCTTCTGTTGACAGCTAGTAGAGCCGGAACTCTAATAGACACCGGTCAATCACTAGTTTAAGGGTACATTCCCACAGTGGCTCTTGTATTCAACATGGTGATATTCTCTAGGAACCCAAAAACTGGAGCAAATATAGGAATACTGGAATACAGTCATAAGAGCATGTCCATATAAAGGTTAGACGTAGTTAAGCAAAATGCCTATTCTAACCGTTTGTTGTTATAACAGCAGTCTCATCATACGACAGGTAGCATCGAGTACGATCCATGGTCGACATTCTTAACACATTTAAGGTGCCTGTGGTTATTTTAAGTAACGCATTTTACTGGAAACTCCATGAACCGCCGAAATGTTACGAAGCCGTTGGTTAATAAAAGGTTCCCATGTGTGGAGATGAGTTCTAGCTTAGAACTTTAACGCCGTGTAACCTACGTGGAAGTATCAATAAGACGACAGCGAGATGATCCAGCCGACTAAGGGAGAGAGAGATATGTGCATCCGATCAGCTCACCACGATAACTTATTTCCGAATATTTGGTTTAGTTGGCGATATCTAACAGTCAACAAAATTCAAAACCAACGGAACATCACGCAAAACCCTAAACTTCTTGCTAATTATGAAGGGTAGAAATAAGCCATGATAAGGGAACCGCGGTAAAAAGCCAAAGCGGTTCACTCTTGTGCGTGTGTAGCTGTTTTCATCAACATTGGCTTGAATCCCTTCTACGATATAACAATGGGGCATCAGGAGGGACCGAGAAATCTAGTTTCGGTAATGTTCACTCGATGGCATCACGGAGAACATGATTACAAACCTACTGATGGCCCTAAAGGTACGACGACGAAGAAAAATCGGGAAGCAACACAGTTCGCAAGTAAGTTGCGGATGCATAGACTGCATCGCTGAATACATACTGATAAACACATTTGAAATGACGAGCAAAATTCTGCAGAGGCGTAACGACATTCGGAGTCACCCGGAGCGACAGCTGCGCAAGCAACGGTCAACGTGATTTCATTTTATTTGTATGCTACTAGTTTTTAGAAAGTAGCACAGCTTTGCAGGAAAAGGGGCGAGTTGGCATGGAGAATTTGATGTGTACCAGTGATTGTCTCAGCGCATGTCTGATTCTGACTGTCTGGGTAACGAGGCAGCAATATGATAGCACAAACTAATCTCCGGTGGTAGGTCGAGAACGCTATATGCCTATTCTTAGCTAGCCAAACAACTCACCGGGAAATACAAAGAAAAAACGTCACGAACGGAAACCAACAACCGAACGGTGAGCTTTTAGCATGCATGGATGGGCCAATACAATAGGAGACACACTATTAATGGTATCGTAGTAAAAAAAACAACAAAAATAAGTTCGGATATGACAACTTACTCTAGTATCACTCTTAAGGTGAGACATCTGAAGTGAGACAAGAGGGCAACAGGATGAACGAATGCATCAGTAACTGGCTGAGAGTGGGAGTAGAATTATTTGCAAGAAACGATGCTTTGCACAACATGCTTATAACATACGGATAGTAAAAATAGTCAATAAAGGAAAAATACCAGTGGGGTGCACCCGAACGTGACCTTCAGTGCCTTCGGTCAGAGTGTCTGTGACGAGAGGTACCGTTTCAAACACCACCTCCAATCATCGATGAAGATGCTGTGTGAAGGCATTGGACCCAGACGGGAAGGTAACTAGATCGCATGACTCCTGCACAACCAGCATATCCCTGTTGATTAGCGAAACGTTTAAGGAAGTTCCCTCAGATACAGTTTCATTGACACAAAGTGACCAGAGGGAAGTGGTGAGGTACGTGCTAAGGAAATCTTCCAAAAACACGAGACCAAAGCCACAATATATCCAAAGATGAGTTAACAGGGTCGCTCACTCGAACTCTCTCCAACAAGCTCGTACCTCTATCATGTGATGTCTACTTATTATTCACTGTGTTCCCTCTAAGAGAAGCTCAAGCTGAATTCATCTTACAAGACCGTCGCTTGTAATCTTACAAGAGGTGTTTAAGCCCTGGTCTGAAACTCACAACGTATGCCGTTCGCCGGCGGAAATATGGACCATTGGATAGCTAACATGAAAGGCAATGAAATGACAGTTGGTGGCCGACAAAACGACCGAAATAGTGTTATAACTGACTGGCAACGCTAGGTCCACTGTAACGAGGTTGACCTGCTGAGGTTATTGAGTTAACATAAGTTTGGCTAATGGAACAAGCATAACTTGGGGATCCGGTTATTAGTCACTGGTTGAAAAGTTTACTCACAATGGCAATGAATTCACCCTTCTCTCCATGACTAAATAATCAGGTAGCCAGACTCGGCCACTCTTCTTTCAACAAACACGCACAATGATTTACAACGCCAAACACTATCCGAGCAACATACCACCGCCACCAAAATTGCACCGATCAGTTAACTTCGAGGTTGTTACTACTCTTTGGAAGCCGTACGCTGCAGCCGAAGTCATAATCCCAGAACATAGTCTGATCTCTGTCAAGAATCCAACGGACGCATCAAATTATGTCTTCATCATGTCTCGCAACCTTACAACATAGCTCTCACTTTAGCTTGGTACACATAACATACTTTTTTGGCACAACTGATTCAAATGTGCAAACGTGATTCCGATACTAGCTCCATCAGGCACAGAGTTAACACAACTACCTAGGTATGTAAAATTCCCTACAACATCCAGTGCTTCTCCTTGAATTGTAAGGACCACGCTCAGAGACAGCACGTTCTGACGCATGCCGTTACACTTTGAACGTGCATTTCGAAAGATAGTTGGATGGTGGTCAGTTTATCTAACAGAGCTTATGCTTCGCCTGTCTTCAAAGAAGATAACGATTTCGTCTGCGGACTCCAGATCAACAAGGTTGTCGTCAATCCTAGGTGAACATGGGGGTTCTAAAAAACTTCCACTGTTTGTCTCAGTTCATCAACGACCAAGTTGAACAAGAATTGAGAGAATGGACATGTTTGTCGGACACTGCTTTTGTAGGGAACTAGAGAGATTCCCATAGGCTCCAATGTGAACATAAGGACTGGATTATGTTCAAAAATTTCTGAGACATCCTCTAGTGGTGACAGACCGTCCTGACCTGAAGCACGAAGACACGTGAGTAGGGATATAAATCCAGACATTGGAACACGAAGGGGCTCGATATTCGTAGAACACATCTGTCAAAGGTGGACAGCCCGGATAGCAACTAGCAGGTGACCAAGTGAATTGTTGTTCAAAGTATTCCACGAAACGATTCAAAAGTTATTGGATAGCAGGGAGCCACTGTAGTCCTTGGTGGTTTAATTAACAGGAGGCTAGTGAGAATGCGAAAAAAATTAGCAAGTGGAACAATCTGCGAACATTTCCACCATTTTTTCGCATCTTGCGTTCATTCGGCCGCTCGAATTCACCCTTATTCCAGGTCTGCGTGCACAGTCGCTTTTACCTGGTGTCGGTTGATGTGTTAGGTTAAGTTGTGGTTGCGACGAGAAGGAATCTGTTGTCGAGTTTCCAGCAAAGCCACGATCCTACCAGGATTCACTGCTTGGGAGGAGCCGGCTACGGTGTACCGCAGGTAGAGGTCGACGCACCACATCCAGCTTTGTATGCAACGCTTCATTGGTGACTAATACCCGAAAGCGTATCAGAAGGCAGGCCAACCCATGTGTGCGTCTTTTAAGTAGACCTGAAAAGCGTAGGAGAATCGGCAGTGAACAAATGCATGACCAGTGTCCATGTGGACATTCGGAAATGAGCGACAGACGGTCGCCACCGGTAACTCACGGAAATGTGGTCTATTGGGGTTTAACGCTGATTCGTCTGTAGGCACCACGCAACCAAGCGATTTTCGCTATTCCGGAAATTAGTACTGCAAAGGAACAGCCTGTGGTCGCCACACACCCGAAGCGGAAGAACAGGATTGAAAAGCGACCTATATCTCTCTTTGATTATCAAAGTTGACTTTCACAACAGACTTCGTAACTTCAGAGGTTTTGTACACAGCCGCTCTGGAACGATGACTTATCACTTGGCACGAAACGTCTTCTAGAGGCTTGATAATGCTTGCCAATTGGCTTTATGTCAAGCTGTAAGCTGAAATCGTTCCTCTCTGTGATTGAGAGCTCAATATGTGATGATTGCCATTGTGGAGTGACTACCTTATGCATTTCCACTGCTCTGGGACAATTCACCCGGAAAAAATTCCCTACAGGATTCGCTCGGAGTGACAAACTACTTGTTGCAGCTTCTCTAATCGGTATGTATGAAAACTTGAAGAAACCCCGGTTCCAAGTTACTAGACGTCCAAAACTGTAATGCCCCATGCCTATGGCCATAGACTGTCATAATGTCATTATTCAAGTTGGTGAAAGGAAACTAGCAGAAGAGTCAACGATATTGAATGGATTGGGCAACCTGCAAATGACACAAAAACTTCTATGGGAATATTAGAATAAGTGTAGCTCGGGTGCTTTAAGCAACAGCCAGCCGATCAATTACCACTTCTTTGGGAGATAGACCGGGAAGCAGAAACAAAACATGCTTGCAAATAGGAACCGTAGGTTAAGGAAAAGGTAAAACAAAAGCGCAAAGGAGGCCCAACAATCACATTTTAGCTTACCCTGTATCGGGAAACGTTCTCAAATCTTGCCTCAACCAGACCATTAGCACTGGCCTCATCATCATCGTCATAAGTTTCCATCATATCTCCAGTCTGTTCGCAGTAGGGGTCGGTTCGGTGTGGGTTATGCGTCCCCGTATTGACATTGAACCAGGCTCGGAAATGTTCGTCCTGAGGGCGAGGAAGGTAAAACTAGTTAGAGTTAGGAAATACATAGTGCTCGGATTTACAAAGAGCCCAGATGAGCACAGGAATTCGGAGGCATGGACCATGTACGACGATTGCACTGGCGTCAAACTTTCTAGCAATATTCGCACTTTACTTCGGATAAACAGATTACATGCCTGAGTACATCCTGGGTTCACTCACGAATCACCTACAGATCTTCAAGAGCTGTCTTTGGTGTTAAACCTGGAGTAAAAGCGATAAGTAAAGTAGGTAAGAAAAGGCATCAACGCATGCTTCTACAGCAGACAACACACGGAAACAACCGTCTCGAAACTGAACCCACTAGGATGACGTTCGTCGTACCTGCCAACACACGTCAGCCTGGGTGAAAATGACACATGTTATATGTAGTCAAAGCTACGGTCACCCAAACTAGTGAACAAAAATCCTATCAATTCGCTCAAAAAGAGCGAAAGAGTGTAATCAAAGCGTATGGAAATCGGATGATAAATGTATCACTAACGGGCCGGTGGATTTCACACGCGGCGCCCTGGAGGGATGCAAGACAGAAATACCACTTTTCGGACGTCTAAAGTTTATAAAATTAAATGGCAACGTTGCAAGTCCAGATAGACCTACAGACAAACAATTTTCAACAAATTACCATATGAATCGGAAGCTACGAACAGTATTCTTAAATTGAAAGCCCGAGTGCAAGTGCACTTGAAGCAGTCATTTCGAGGATCAAGAAATCCCCTACATCTTGTCAACCAATACTAGTGACAACTAAATGAAGTGTGCCCTTTAGCAGAACAGATAGAGCAATAAAATACGGTGCAGCAAGGACAATCGTTCAGACAATTTCGACGAGCTCGTTAGTGTCTAAAAAACGCCGATAGGGTTAGATTATGGACCAGGGATTCAAGCTTTCAAAGTGCATGACCACCACAAATCATTCAGGTAGGTCTCACCAATCCTGACTGAGAATAGTGCTTCCGGAAAAAGAAAGGGGTGAAAGCTCATGACCGCCGAATTTACTGGGACTATTGTCTGCACGTCCAGGATTGACGGTTGAATTTCGCACTCAACCAGACCATGGATTGCTTGCGATGAGGAGTAAAAACGATAGTATCGTCATTTTGGAATGTGAGGTGATCACTATTGGCACAAACGCGCAGGGTAAAGGTGAATCAGTGTGGCAGGTCGAGAAAAGCAACTATATCTACAAAAGTGTGAGCTTCATGTCATCTTGCAGCTCTGAAGAGTTGAGCAGGAGAACCAAAGCGCCACCTGCTAATATGGGCCGAAGCGCTATGTGAGTTGGCACCGCTTTCTTAGTTAAGAGCATTTAAGTTAGTCTGCACCCAAAAACATTAACCACGATAGACGTTAACAGCTACTGGTCGCAGCGTCATCATACTCCTAAATCACCCAATGAATGCTTGCTATGGTAGCTGATGTGAGTTGGAGGAAGATCATATACACCACCCCCGTGATAACGTTGAAAAATGGAAAGCTTCAGTGGTACTCACCTGACCGCGATGGCCGAGGTTAGGGGACCGCGTCGTATCTTGAGAATCATCAGTAACGGCATCCGGATTATGAGCTATATTCTCTACTTCCATAGTCTCCTCATCTCCAATAGTGTGTCTCGGGGTAGAATCGCGGTTCAATGGTGACATAGTTCGCTTGAGATCCGTCGGGCTTAGCTTCCCCGGCTTATGTTGCGACATTCGGGCAATGGTTACGGATGTACTGGAGAATTAGAAGGTCCGTTTCTCTCGATGCAATCAATTAACGGCTATTCGCATCCAGAGAGCTAAAATATAAAAGTGGAAAAGTTATATTCAGGAGTCCCTACAGAATGAGGTGTCAGCAAGAGGGACCTTTCGGATATAAGTGTTACTTTGTTGAGTAGGGGAGAAATTGGCAGACATCTGTGAACCATGAAAAACTAGGAAATTATATCCTAAAATTAAAAAAGAACTAATGTAAGGAAAGCGCACAAGATGAAAAAAGTAGTAAAAAATCGTGCTAAGCTAGCACTGGCCCACTGCGTTCAACTTCGTTCTTTTCTAAAAGGGATCATCATTATCAGCTGTAATAACCGCGTACTCGTCGTACAGTGGTTGCAGCTGCCGCAGTTTCGTTCACCGATGATTGGGGGTGGGGGGTTGTAAGTAGCTGCGCATTGCAGGGAACCATGTACGAAATACCTATCCACTTGTTTTGAAGATTGGAAATTTCAAGAGTGTGAGGAAATTAAAGTGATAAAAGTGCCGAGTTCTCACGGGGGGTTCAAGGTGTGAATCCACGCTTCTTCAGCCTGAGTAGGAACGCAAAGCATTCAGATAGATAACTGTGCAAACAAGGTTTAAGTGGATTGTTTGATCTCAAGCGATAGATCAAAAAGTCAAATAAAAACGTCTTGAATGGTTGGTTTTCGCTCCCAATCTTCTGTAGATGGTCGTCTGACCGTCCACCTGGGTTTCATTACCTTCTCAGGAGAGCGAAAAGTGTAGATCTTCAGACCACGGTACCTTGTTGCGTTGATAGTGATATCCCACACTGGATTTCTGTTGTTAACGAGGGGTGGTGTCGGTGTTCCGTTAAGGCCCACTAGGTTCATCCAGAGAATGTAGTGAAGTTCAATCTATCGCTTAAAACGACGATTTTGAGTGAATTGCCGTTCCGTTTTTTCCGCATTTCGTTGCGCTGGCGAGATACCTTAGTGAATAAAGCGCGAATTTACTGACCGGAAAGTCCATGGTTCGGACCCGACCTCTGCCTCTCAACTTCTTCTGTCTAGGCTTGGGCAACCTGGCAGTATCCCAGCCCTCGTGCTTACTTCTGGTGGCATGGTAGCTAGACATCGAGAGGGCGTTACAGCTGAACGAGTACTTGTCTCGTTTTGGTCGCTTGATCGAATCAGCAGACAAGGCCGTCGCCTGCAACTAATGGGGCGAGATGGCTCAGTGGTTCCAACGCGAATTTACTGACCGGAAGGTACGTGGTTCGAAACCGACCTCTGCCTCTCGACTTCCCCGTCTAGGCTTGGGCAACCTGGCAGTAACCCAGCCCTCTTGCTTCGATCTGGTGGCATGGCAGCTAGGCACCGAAAGGATGCTACAGCTGAACACTTTTTTGAGAGCATAACTTCTTCAACTTGCCTCCATTCAACCTCCAAGCAATCTTCGTCATGCGCATGACTGTTCGTTCCCAGTAGCTTTCTAGCCATAACAGTTCAATACCCCTGAGCTGCTGAAAATTGTCGAAATTGACGAATAGAGCTGTTCTCCATTGGTACGCATAATGCTGACGGGCACATTTGCGGCATCAAGATCAAGTTGCGTATCCTAGGAAGAACGGCTATCTTTAATTGAGGCTTTCCATCGATAACTGATAGCTACATAGTCCAACTCAGTCTATGACTGTCTTGTGGTTGATGGCCTCCAAGTAACTCGATGTGTTGGAAGTTCGTACTGGCCAGGAATAGACGAGGATCAGTATACGACCACAAGACCACTGGATGGCGGCGAGATCGCTATCCATGATTAATGCCAGGAAAGCCATACCAGCAGGCAACGAGTACGACGGCGCACGCAAATCCTTCAAACGCCAAATAGTGAAGAGTCTAAGGAAAGACCGAGAACTCTGGTGGACATGGAAAGCTCGGGAGATAGAGAAGGCTTTTGCTACGGGAAACGGCCGTGCCCAATATTAACTATACGATCAACTGTCCCTAGGAAAGCAACGGGCAGCGAAATGACAAGTGAAAAGGATGGTTCATTAATTCACTCGCAAAAAAAGTCGACTGGAAAGATGCACTGAAGAGCAGTTCAGCTGGCCTCGTGCAACACATCCTGTGGAGACAACGCATACGGGTGAATAGGATGTAAACCTTGATCGTCCGCCGGAAGAAATAAGGTACGAAATAGACGTACTGAAACGTGAGAAGGCACCAGGACCGAACGGTCTGTATCCAACCCTCTTCAAAGAAGGTGGAAAATCCCTGGTGACCCACCTGACAAAGCTTATTGGTGCTATATGGGACGAAGAGAAAGTGCCTGCAGAATGGGGCATGTCGATGGTTATCCCCATCTTCAATAAGGATACGCGGACGCTACGTGAAAACCACCGTGGCATCAGCCTGTTAGCTGTGGCATCGAAGGTGCTCTCTGGCCTTATCCTTCGAAGGTTGACTGAACACAGGGAGAGGCAGATCCGTGAAAACCAAGCTGGGTTCCGTCCTGCAAGAGGTTGCATCGATCATATCTTCACCCTCCGACAGATTCTGGAACAGCGACACTGCTTCCAGCAACCAACAATGGTTGTTTTTCTTGATCTGAAAGCTGCCTTTGACTCTGTGGACCGCCAAGCACTATGGCAGTGTCTGTGGAGCAAAGGTGTCCCCCATAAATTCTTGACCCTCATTAAGGCGCTGTACGCCAACTCCCGCGGCCGTGTAAAGGTCTACGGGAAGCTCTCTCCTGAGTTCACCACATCCAGTGGTGTCCGACAGGGCTGTCCTCTTTCACCTTTCCTCTTCAACTTCGTCATTGATACGATCATGGAAGACGCACTACCAGCCTCTAATGCTTCTGGGGTCGAAGTGCTCCCTGGGCCTTCGCTCACAGATATCGAGTACACAGACGACATAGCTCTTCTGGGATCTGATCCCGTGGTAATGCAAACAATATTAAATAATCTAAATAATTCTGCCTCGCGGTTCGGCATGCGCTTCACACCTGCAAAGTGTAAAGTGCTACTGCAAGACTGGGTGGGCTCGAACCCTAGCCCCATGCTTGCGGATTAACCGATTGAGGCAATAGACAAATTTGTTTACCTGGGCAGCTGTATCGGTCCCGGTGGTCTCCCGAAAGATGATATTTTCATCCGGATTGGGAAAGGCAGAGCAGCTTTTGTGAACCTGCGTCACCTGCGGCGTAGGCATTACATCAGCTTCTCTGTCAAGGATCGAGTTTACAATGCTGCGGTGCGCTCCATATTACTATATGGATCAGAAACCTGGCCGCTGCACACCGAGGACGTCAAAAGAATTCCAGTATTTGACCATCGATGCCTTCGGAGCATTGCCCCAATCTGGTGGGAACACCGGATCAGCAATGCTGAAGTACGTCGAATGGTATTCGGGAGAAATAACTCACCTTCGATAGATGAACTCATCACACTGTATAGGGTGTGCTGGCATGGCTACTTGCTGCGTATGCCAGTCGGCCGAATTCCTTGGAGGGTCCTTTTCGCACAACCACGTGAAGGGTGAAAGAGAGCCAGAAGCGGTCGAACAATGACTTGGTAGCGAAGTATAAAAGCCATTACCAGCAAACTCAGCTGCGCTGGTCACTTCCGCCTTCACGGATGGGGACCCGGGCCACATCAATGGTTATAGACACTGTCAGACATGTCCCAGTCGCGCCCTCAATGGCGCTCATGCATCATGCCTTTAATGCGTAGCTCCCTTCCTAACTCCCCCATTTAACAGTTCATTGACAGTGTTGCATTTACGCACCAATGCGCAGCTACCTATCCCACCCCCACCTTCCAGCCCCCGAATCATCGGTGAACGAAATTGTAGCAGCCACAACCATTATACGACAAGTACGCGGTTATTACAGCTGACAGTTATGATGATGATGATGACACGACCGAAATAGTCGCTCCCTATTATCCGTACACCGAGCATCTGCTCCAAATCTACCATCTAATCGTGCCTTTTCAGGGCTTGGTCATAAAGCTGGGATCCATTTCACCCATCAGGATTACTATATCCGTCCTGCTTGCTGACAGAAGCAGTTGAGATATGTCTCGATGAAATCCATCCTTCTGTCTCAGAACTGCAGTCTATCGATACGAATGCTGATACGGGACCATTTGCACCACATAAATTTAGCTTAACTGAGCTAGAAAACCGCACAGCGCGGCGACGATGGTTTAATGATGGGGCTGAGTGCAACTCCCGTAGGTACCACGAGTCATTTAGACAGAATCAGCAGACACCCACTGAAGAATGTCCAACACTAGAAGCTGCAGTGGTTAGACCATGCGTTGCGTATACCAACTCATCGTTTGCTGAACAGAATGCTGTTTTCCGTGCCCGATTCAGAGTGGCGCAGGTGAGGAGGCGGTCAACCTCTGACCTGGAAGAGGAGTTTGGAAGATATGGCGAAAAACTTGGGTAATGTCGGCGCGACTCACCTTCCAGAGTGGGAACCGCATGTTCCAAACTATGCCTCGCAGGAGACGCTGCAAGATATGGCTGTTAATCAATGTTCCTTCCCCAACCAAATCTATTCTTTTCACAATAAGGCTTTCAAATAAACCATGGTTGTACGGTAGCGAAGCATCAGTATTGAACACTGATGTCAAGCTGTCAACGATGAGGAGGAGGAGGAGTGGAATGCAGAATAGCTGAGGTCGTCCGAGGTGGGGTCTTGTATGCGTGCTTCGGAGATACAGCATACATCCACAGCTAGGGTAACAAGGTTTCAGCGAGTGATGCCTGTAGCCTAGTTTAGCATTGTATATGCACATTGAAGGCTCCAACGTGGATCAGATCTTTTGAGGTTAGCACGGGATTATTTCGGTTTGTTTTAATGTGCGAAAGTTTAGACACGGAATGGCTGCTAGGGAACTGGCAGATGGGTAGGGTGTGGGGGGAACTGCAAGGGCGAATGGTACTACCCGGTTCCCTAAGCCGAAGGTGTTTGATTGGGGTACCCCACCTTGAACCTCTGAACCAAAAGTTTTACCCACGAGTCAGTGGGAGGACGTAAGACTCTATTGGAGACCCTGCCCTTA